AACAATCCCAAACCAAAGTTTCATCTGCTTGGCTATCTGCTTCTCCTAGGTTAACGAGGCAAATGTGACCCTTAATACTACTTGGAACAGAGACTGAAAAAAGCATCCTTTGCTTGTGACTTCTGGATTTGTGGGCTGTAACTGAAAGCTAGCTGTCAGTCTTGAAAGAAACCGTCCTGTACAAACTTGATCAACCTCTCTGGTCCACCCCAAAGGTGTTCCTCAGATGAGCTCTCTTGGGTTAGGCATCTCTTGCCCCAAACCTCACCAGTTTGCTTGGCTTCCATGCAGAATCTTAGTGAGATCAGCCACTGAGCAAAGATGAAGACTGCCCTCTGCTCCTGCCCTTGGTGTGGTTCACCTCAAGTGAAGTACATCGGTGGTGGTTAATTTTCAAAGTCTTGTTAGATACCTGCTACTTATGTACCATCCACTTTCATCTTTGATGTCCTCCAAACACTCACGCTACAGTCCCTGACACTGCGCTGGAAGTCAGCGATGCTCGTGCTCTTCTGTTGACCTCATGGTTTCCGAGACCCTGGGATCCACATGGAAAATTAAATGATTTAGTGTCACAAACTTTGTAATTGCCTCAATCAGAGAAGCATAAGGATCTTGGAGAGGAGCTTGGAGAAGTCTAGAGTCCCCTTGGTCCATGCAGGTCCAGCAGCAGCGAGGAAAGGAAAATGGTAACTAGAACCAGTCTTGATTCCTCCATCTCTCAGTGTCAGGTATCTGATGAATATTTGCTAATGTTTGAGCACCAAAAAAAAATTATAAATTCTTCTCCAGTTGATTTCAGACCAGCCCTTCCCAAGGCATAGGTAACAGCGAGCCACTGCACTTTGCAAAGCTCAGCTGAAGGAGCCCTGCGTCAAGCAAAGAAATTAATTTCTTTCCATCCAGATTCATTGGAACAACACAAGTTTCTGCCTTGTGCGTTTTTCCTGTTGCATTTTTCCACATTTGTTAGAGGGAGAGGCACAAGGCGGGCTGCAAGATCACTGCAAAACACCAGCATTGCAAACTCTGATGCTTGCAATAAGCCTGGTTATTTAGGACAGTGCTATTAAAAAAAAAATAAATCCTTTCAAGTATGTAGAAATGAGCACCGAAAATCACTCTACTGCAGAGACACGAGGCACGCCAATTTAAAAAAAAATAAAAATGTATGTCTTCATTAAGCCTGGTGCATGTTCCCTCCCAGGCATTCTGTCTTCCTGAGATGGTTGTTTTGTTTTAACTTCCTTCATTAATGCATGCCTTTTTATTTTCCTGAAAGTAGGGCACACACTTTTCGCATGGAGCCTGGCTTATGCTTTAACTGCGTTTATTAATAATGCAGGGGAGAATAATGCTTTGCATCCATTACTTCAGTGCCCTTACGGAGCAGAACAGAGAGTTCTAAAAATCAGCCTCGGAAATTAGGGGTCTCTGTAGGGATGTTGTGGGACAGGATGGAGGCTCCGATCCCCCATATGCTGCTGGGTCCTCCCCGGAGGAAACGTTGCTCTGCAGAGGGAAAGCGTAGGCATCGTCTTTCCCCGCCTAAGTGCTCTGAACCGTCCTCTGTAGGCGCCGGTCAACTCTTTAGGGACATCGATGGGTCCCCTAAGGTGGGTATCGTGGGGTCTGGTGGGGTGAATATCCCGTAGAGCCGTGCAAGGCTTTTTAAGAACAAATGCTCCCACCGTTTTGAGGCACTCGTGCACGGTAATGGGACGGCCGGGGGAATTAAGCTTATTGTAAACTTCGTATGATGCTCAGGGCCGTATCCATCACAAATAAGGTAGGCAGAGGGAAGCAAGAGATATACATACCATATATACTGTATCATCCACTTTGTCCTTTCATTGCGATTCTGTACTCCAGTTAATTCATGGAATTTTCTTCAGACACATCTGGTTCATATTTTTCTCTTTTTACACTTAAAATATGTCCGGAACATTACCACATTGGCTAGAGTTCCTTGCGGGGAGACAGACCAGACCCAGCTCTGCAGAGACCCACGCTCAGTTCACATTGCTTGCCCAGTTCCCACCACTAGATTTGCCAGGGATCCAACAGATAATGAATAAAACCTCTTTATTTTTCAATGAACAGCGTAGGCGAGAGGCTAAACCAACTCCAGACAACACTAGCTGGAGGTGGACCTTAAATGATATTAGCTAGTCATGGCTGGATTGTAACCTCTGTCCATTGTAGCTCTTGCACAGGACCAGGAGATATTAATGTTCCTAGAAGTCTCCTTGGTTGACCTTTTGTTTTAGTTTTAAGTGATGGATTCTCCAAGGATCCATGATTTAATGTAAAGAATATGCCTAGCTATAAGTTACAAGGTCCCAGCCATCTCAGAACCAAATTACCTTGATCTTTTGGTAGGTCTAATGTGGAGAGGAGAAACCACTGAGGAAGGATTCATATAACATCTAAATAAATTGTCTCATCAGTCTTGGATATTAAAACCTTTGTGAAATCCAGAGGCAAAAATTAATCTGATTTTGAATAAAAGCATAAGTGAAAGAGAAAAGTCTCAGCGCTGGGAATTAGCTCTCCAGTGTGATGTTCAGGACTGCGGCATTCCATGGAAAATAAAGGCAGTTTGGAAATCCTTAATAACTCACAAACCCTTGCGGGGGGGCACAGGCTCAGAGGAGAACGTGATCAGTGCTTGGGTGGAGGAGAAATTGCAGTCTGAATCTCTTGCTTCCCATGAACCTACTGGTTTTCTCTTGAAGAAGTTAAGGAAAGAGGAGCACGTTTCCACATCTCCAGCAGCAGAGCACCATCCAGCCAGATCTTGCACCTATAAACATCTCCACACAGCTGATGATGCCATGCTATCCATTAAAGCATCGCTGCTGGGTGTCCTCCATGCTCCTGTATTTCTGTCCCACACTAGGAGAGTGGTCTCATGAGTTTTTGGTGGACCAACAGACCTGCAGCAGTGTTTCTCTGCTCTCTCTAGGCAGTGGCGTCCAACCATTAGGACCTGTGGCATGGCTGGCATAGGCTGTGGAAGCAGCGTCGATTATTCCTTGGCCTTCTCAATCACTTGTCCCCAACTTCCAGCCCCGTGGCACTCCAGATTCACAGTTACATCTTCAGAGATGGTTATTAAGAGTGTGAGCAGACATGGAGGCGTTGGAGGGGTTCAAAACATCATTGCTCTTGCTTTAGGGCTGCAGAAAGGTTTACAAGCCCTGACGAAGTCATAAAGTCCCTTCTGTAGGGCTTAGTGCCAAGCCCCTCGGGTGTAGAAACTTGCTTGGGAGAAGGAGTTATGAGATGGAGCCTTAAAATGTCTTCATGTGTGACTCCCTTGGGGCCAACGGGAGGGTAAAGAACCCATCATCTCCTCCTGTGGGCCATGGTGTCCCTCCCAAAGAGCTCCTCTTTCTGCCCCAGACAGCTTTGTCTGAGCTTGGCTGGTTCTGCTATCAGAAACAGTTCCCTGCCTACAAAATCACATCTCTGTTGTTCCTTTCTTGCCCAAAGGTCCTTTTTTTTTCCCTTCAGAAGTCTCTTGAGTTTGCAGATCTGACCCAAAATCCCTTTACTGCTTTTCTGGAGAAATCCTACCTGTCCCTAACAGCACACGAGCAGGGAGACATGCCCAGACCTCCAACCTTCTAGAGATCTTTGGTAATCCCGTAATATGGTGTAGAGAGAGCATGTCAACGTCTAGCTTCTGCGTTCACAAAAAATACCTTTAAAAAAGCCATAAATCAGTGATTTTCTTTCCAACAGCTGCATCATTTTACCTCCTTTACCCTCCACAACTTCACAGCAAGGTCTAACCGCTAAGCGGCTTGTTGAGGATGGCCCAACCCTCGCTTGGTTTTGTTTCCTTAGTAGCTGGGTGTGTGAAATACCTGCTGTGGTACATCAAAAACTTGGAGCTTATTTCTTTTATAATGACAGCTGGAGCAGCTTGTTAAGCTGGTGAGCAGCGAGCTGTAATAACCGGCCGAGGCTTTCAAGAGATGTATGCATTCTGTTGGGAGGTGGTGGGACTTAAACCAAGGATGATGGGGGGCCACCATTTGAGATTAGTCTGGAACAAAAAGTTAGGACAGTTTCAGAGAAGGGAAAAAAAAAAAAAAAAAAAAAAAACCTGTTAAGCCTTTCCTGGAGGTCCCAACTTTGGGAAGGAGCCTAGTCGTAGGCTTGTGTTGGTGATCTGCCTTCTTCGTAGATGTGCTCCAGAAAGCCTTCAGTGTAATGGCAGTCCTTCTTAGATAAGCACCGGCAATGTATTTGGATATAGGATAAAGGTATAGGCAGTGCTGGTACTTCACACAGAGGTGCGTTATGGAAGTTATAACACCTTTTCCTCTTTCAGAAAATATAAGACCCACAAAATGACTAAATTCTGTTGGTCCCTTCTCAAATCCCACAAGATTTGGCTTTTAAGATTCTTCTGGATTATTTCTCTTGGATTCGTAAATATTTTTCCGCAAACTAGGATACAGTGCGACCTGCCCAAAGCCACTGCTTCTGCTGACTGTCCTTTCCAAGGACAACCCAATGCTGTGATGGGATGGTCACAGCAACCAGTACCTTGTCCACTGGTGGTCCCTGCCATGCAGGCATCTCAAAGGCTTTTACTGTGAATCGAATGCCTTGCACACCAGGCTCAGTCTGTTTTCCAGCTGGGAAACACAAGGCCAAGGACGGCCGTTACTGGTCCCTAGGCACAGTGGTATCTGGGAAGGGATGGTGGCTCTGCTGGTCACGTCCCCCAGGTGTAGATCTTCATGCAGGTCACATGGCTCAGGAAACCAGTTGTTTGGGGTAGGTAACTGGTTTGGTGCAATGCACTGGGCAAACCATCCCTCCATGGGGAGCAGGTGGGGTGAGAGGAACCATGGTGTGAAATTCCTATGGATAGTTGTCCTTAAAAGGGAAGGAAGAGATCAGCAAAGTGGCTCAAACGTGACATAAATGTGGGAAGTTGTATCTTCGTTGCTCTGTGTGACACTTCTTCTCTGTCTCCACTCAAGCTACACTTCTGATGAAGCAAGCCTGGCCACAGACCTCCTCCTCCTGTGCCACGGAGGGCACCTTCCACCTCCCGGTGGACACCGGGACGGAGAACAGAACTTATCAGGCTTCTTCTGCAGCATTCAGTAAATAAACCTTTTTATTCTGGGGTTTTACTTTGTTATTTTGTGCCCATTTGCCTCCCCTCCTGTGGGTTATTTGGGGATGGGATTACTTGGGATCAGCCCGTTTGCAATGGATGGGATCATTCATGTCCTTGCAGGTGTCCGTGTGTCCTTCCCTGGGTGCTGAGCGCTGACAGAGGTGAGGGTGCTGCAGGTCCTGGGGGTGCTCGCTGGCACCAGGTAGCAGATCCGTTACCTTCTGCTGCCAGAGCTGCCTGGTGGGAGCGTTGCGCTGCTGCTGCAGTTCTCTTCTGGGATGAAATTTTGCCAAGCTCTTGGGTTTTTTTTCTTCTGAAAAATGAAGTAGCGTCCCTGCTCCTTTCTATTCGCATGTGTTAAACCCATGAAGGAGCATGAAAAGGACAGCACTGACCCTTGGAGTACTAGAGGAGGAAGTCAAGTGGAGAAGGGTGAAGGACTCTCTCAGCTGAGAATCTGGTCCCCAGGAGCAACCTGAGGTGGTTTGCAGGTGTATATCCGCAGTGGTGATGCTCTGTAGTTGAGCAGAACAGTATGTGTAGAAAAACCAAAGGGAAATTATTGCCTGTTACCTTAAAAGTGAAAGAGAGAATTCCAAAATCATGTTTTTCAAGGAACCCAGGGTGAAATTCCCACCTTTTAACTCAAACTGGCAGGGGGAGCAGATGCTGCTTATGGATGGGAGCCAAACAGGCTTTTCCAGGTGGAGCCTTGTAATCTCATCCCGTAAGAGGCCAAATAGTGCCTCCAGGAGAGGTGATAAGCTCCCTGATAAGGCCCCCGGTGCTTCCCCTGGAATGTGGGGTGTCCTCTGGCCCCTGCCCCACCGCTCCTGCCTGCTCTCGCCTCATGTTGCCTGCTAAAGCCGGGGCATGGCTAGCATGGGGTGTGCTGTGAGCGTGAGGTGGGACCGCTCCTCGGTTCAAAATGCAAAATTAATCTTCCAAAGTCCCAGTCATATCTGGAGAAAAAAATATAAGGTATCGTAAAGTGACTTTCCACGGGCCACGTTTGCAAGGCTGAGACCGTTGCGCCCATGCACACACGTGGGTTGAAGCGTTCCTCGCCGTTTGGCTGCTCCAGGTTCCCTTTTTGTGCTAAATGAAATCATTTACAGAATGAGATGAGAGGAAGAAATATTGTTTCTCTTTTTTTTTTTTTTTAAATGAAAAAAAATATTAAAAATAAACCTATTAAAAGATTTTGGGAGACTTTCTCTTTGAAAAGGGATGTCCCTACCATCCTTTGGGGTGGGAGCTGTATGCCTGACACGGTGCGTGGGCTTTGCATCGCACCTAATTTCACGCCAGACCACATTTGACTGAGTTGTAAGTGTCTGGAAAAATCTCAGCTTGTAATTAGTAGAAATCTAGATATTATTCAGCAAAATTCCCTTGGAGTTCAACCCGTGCCTGGATGTTTTTCCTCCCCATTGCACCTCCAGGCTGCTACAGGTGAGATTCCTTCCTCGAAATCAGAGTGAACAAGAGCAGGTACCAGGGTAGGAAAGGCTTTGGGGCCAAAATTTGGCTGCGGCCACCCGGTGTGGGTGATAAAAGAGATTAATAATGCAGTCACCGGCCAGACCCAGGCAGGCTGGCCTCGTTTCCAGAGAACTGGCTTGGGTACATTTAATTTGGAAATTAAATTTAGTAGATAAAGCCTTGAGGTTTGATTTGCAGAGATGCTTCAGGCTTAGAGCTGCGGTTGGCTTTGCCAGAGCTCTGCTGGGAAATGCCGTCTCAAGCACGGGCTCTGAAAAATCAGAAGCATTTGAGGTTGGGTATCCCAGATTGGTTCTGTCCTTCGGTTCGATCTCACCTAGCCCAGGTTTTGTTCTCGGGAGAACAGCCTTCCCATGGCAGGACAGGGGCGAGAGTTTACTCACGAGTATCAGATCAGCAAGGCGTCAGATCTAGATGGAGGAGAGCCAAGGAGAAGCCTGGGAGATGAGTCCTTCTCTTCCCAGGGTGAAGAGTGCCCACCAGTATGGACTGGAGCCGCACGCTGAACAGGGATAAATATGAATAATTATGCAGTAGATGTTCAGTACCTCCACGCATCTGCAGCAGTAAGACAGAAAAGGTGCCGAGGGGACAACTGGGCTGTGAACCTGCAATGAAAGATGGTGGCAAGACATGCGTGAGCTCAAAGGCTGGGTAGGGGCTGCCCAGGTGCCTTCATCCTGGCCTTGCCTACAGTGTGGGGACATGCCTTTGCCTTTTGGCCCTTTGTCATTTAATGATGAGTTTTTCAAAGCTTGTTTCGCCTGCATTGAGTGCAGCCTCCTTAGACACCGCTTGAATTTACTGAAAAAAATGCAAGTCTATTTTTAAAGAATCATGGAATCACACAATAGGTTGGGTTGAAAGGGACCCTCAGAGATCATATAGTCCAACCCCCTGCCATGGGAAGGGACACCCTCCACTCACCCAGGTTGCCCAAAGCCCCATCCAACCTGGCCTTCAACACTGCCAGGGAGCCAGGGGCAGCCACAGCTTCTCGGGGCACCCTGTGCCAGGGCCTCAGCACCCTCACAGGGAAGGATTTCTGCCTCCCATCTCATCTCCATCTCCCCTCCTGCAGCTTCAGGCCATTCCCCTTGGCCTGTCCCTCCCTGCCCTTGGCACCAGCCCCTCTCCAGCTTTCCTGGAGCCCCTGCAGGGACGGGAGGGGGCTCGAAGGTCTCCCCGCAGCCTTCTCTTCTCCAGGCTGAACCAGCCCAACTCTCTCAGCCTGAGGTCTCCAGAGCAGAGGTGCTCCAGCCCTCCCATCATCTCCGTGGCCTCCTCTGGACTCGCTCCAACAGCTCCATGTCCTTCTTGTGCTGGGGACCCCCGAGCTGGACGCAGCACTGCAGGGGGGTCTCACCAGAGCAGAGCAGAGGGGCAGAATCCCCTCCCTCAACCTGCTGGTCACGCTGCTGGTGATGCAGCCCAGGACACGGGTGGCTTTGTGGGCTGCCAGTGCACATTGCTGGATCGTGACAAATTTGTCACTCACCAGTTCCAAGTCCTTCTCCTTAGGGCTGTTCTCCATGCCTTCATCCCCCAGCCTATATTGATACTGAGGATTGCCCTGTCCCACATGCAGAACCTTACACTTTGGGCTTGTTGAACTTCATGAGATTCACCTGGGCCCACTCCTCAAGCCTGTCCTACTAGTGTATTGACCGCACCACTCAGCTTGGTGTCATCTGCAAACCTGCTGAGGGTGCACTTGATCCCACGGTCTACGTCATTGATGAAGACATTAACTAGTATTGGTCCCAGTACCGACCCTTGAGGGACACCGCTCATTACTGGTTTCCACTTGGACATTGACCCATTGACTGCAACTCTGGACTTGGCCATCCAACCAGTTCCTTATCCATCTAAGGAATTAATCTTGTGGTGAACCCTTCACGTGGAAACAAGAGGAGTTGGTGATACAAAATTCCGCACAAAGCTTTTTTCCCCCACTTGCCAATCTTAGAGTTAATACAGAAAAATTTATCTGTGCGACTCAGGGCACTTCTGTGTTGCGGGATCAATAAGGTTGAGATTTTCTAGAGTGGCCCGAGGGATTTAATCAGCAATTTTAATTGAAGCTGGAGCTTAAAGGCTCGCTATTGCTTTTAAAATCCCAGCCTGCTGCTGAAACGCAAAGCGGCAATAGCACGGGCCATGCCAACCTCCTAATCCTAATAAGGTGTTAGATAGTCATAATTAGGCTTCAAAATTAGCTGTCAGACATGCTTTTCCGAGAGGAGCATCCATCATCTTGTGTCATTAAAACTTGATTATGCTTCATTTTTACCCGCAAATTGTTCTATTTTTTTCCCAGTTTATAAACATGGAAGATTACATCTGCCTGGCCTATTATGTTTAATAACTTTTTTAATATCGTAGCTAAATTGTCCGTGATTCAGCAATCGGGTAACCACAGCAAGTGTTAGCATTCAAGGCAGTGAAACCACACAGCCTTGAGCTGGTTCACATCTCCAGACGCCCATCAGAAATGAAGTGTGATGCCGAGAACTGCCGGCCTCCAAGGTCTTTGTTTGAAAAAATGAGTTCAGAATGGAAATAAAAATCCGTAAGATTGAAAAACAGAAGGTTGGTTGGTCTGTAGGTGACGTTGTTGGGTTCCTGGAGGACCTCATGATGGAGGAGTCTCCACTTCTGCTGCCGTGGGGAATACGGCCATTTCGAACCTGCGTTTCCTCTCGCTGCTTCCATCTCTCGTTGAAAGATAGTTGCTCTGCTGCTAATGTGAGGCAGAAAAAGGGTCACAGCTATTCCGCTGTTTAATTAACACTTTTTTTTTTTTTTTTCCCAATCTGCAGTAATCAGGAGGCGGTTAGATGCTGTTTGGGAGTTCCTAGAAAGCTCATTGTTATCTTCACGCTGTTTCAGTGCCGGGCGGATAATATGGGATATTAGCAGACTTGAAATCTTGGCCTTCATTAATTGCTGCCCTGAACACTGGTTCAGTAAATTAGTTCATTATATTTGAGTGTTGAGACGTTATCGCTGGGCTGAGCCTTGACTTCTCTCCATCCTACACAGTCTTCAAGGCCCATTTGCTCTAAGGATGATTTCTCCCAGCCCTCCTGCACGAGCTGGCTACCATTTCTCACCAGCCATCCCACCCCACGCGCTTTTCCTTGCTCGTGCGGGCAGATTTTTTTTACCATTTCCAATTTGGTTTTTAACCATTTATTGAGCTGTGACCAACACCTTGATGCCTTCGCAGCATAATTAATGCAGTTTGGGGCATCAGCTCAGCTTTTAGTCTACCCTAAAAAAAACCACCTCTCTGTAAAGCACAACTTTAAGTATTCTTAAGGATATTTTTCCCCAATTTAGCACTTAAGTACCAGCCCTTTGTTTTGGAGAGCAAAATTGATGGAGGTTATGGGAGTCGACCCCGTACTCATCGGAAGCCAATAGATAGGAAGGTACTTTGAAAGGAAACAGAAGAAGAGTGGAGATCCTTACAGGATGTCCTCAGTCCAGGGCAAGCCTTTTAAAAAAAAGACAAATATGATCAGACTTGCATGAGAGGATCTTGACCTGGTACCGCTGGGTTTTCCTGGAAGGAAAATATCATTTTATAAGCACCAGACAACTCAGAACTTAATGCAAATCGCAGCAAAACCCCAAAGTGACACCCACAACCGGCAGGTCAGTTGATATCACGTTATCCTTTAGGTTATTTTTTGTTAAGTTAGGTTAATTTTTTGGGACAAATTTCCATGTTTTGGAAAGGATCCTTCATTTTAGTTTGTTCCCTGTATGCTCAGCATCTCCTAAAGGCTGCAAGATAAGTTAAGGTTTCTTTAGACCTTCGATAAAGTGTCAATCTGGGACTTGGATGCTCCAGCTAAACATCCTGTTGGGATGCTGGGGAAGACTGGGGGATGCTAAAGCCCATTTTCTTTTCCTTGCATCCTAACAAAAGACAAAAATTTGCTGCAATCTGCCGTGTCAGGATCACAAAGCTGAAAAAATATTGCGGGGGGACATTTCCCCGGCTGCCCAACCGCTGCCCTCCCAAGCCCCCGCCGCTCCGCGGTCCTTGCCAGCAGCCTGCTGTGCCTGTTTACCGAACGGAGCAAATGGCTTTTCTTAACGGCAGTGAAGCAGATTTGCTGCTTTTGTCGCGAATGCCAATAGCCTGCAGCGAGCGGGACAGGTAGAAAGGTGCTGGAGCATCATGTGGGGTTGCCTCTCCAATCTGCAAGGTGAGCTGATGGTCACAGCCCTCCTAAAAGGTGAAACGGCTCCGCGCTGTCCCCCTTGATGAAATACTTAAAGCCATGCATCACTTTCATCTCTTAATATGGAGGTTTGGACCATCGGTGTTGCTGCTGGGACACAGGCAGGGGACAGCAAGACTGTGCCATGAAATTAGATCCCCCCAGCAATTAAATTCCGGTTCTCCCCATCACATCCCAAGCCAAAAAAAAAGATGAAAGGAGAAAAATCTGGGGAGGAGAGAGGGAAAAACGTACTTTTAATCAAGTAGATGTCTAGAGATGGGCAAGTAGGTGTGGGGATACTGCTCTCTCAGGTGATTTAAGAGCTGGTTGAGTCCTGTCAAGTCATGCCTTGACCATTGGGAATGCTCATCAGCTCTATGGCCTGGTGTAGGCTGCCGGGCCGGGTGGAGGATGCAGTCCTGGCTGCAGTGATCGATTCGCCAGGGGCTAGACATCAGACTCGGAGGTCTCAGCTCTGTGGGTTTCATGGGATGCCAAGAGATGCTGGTGCATCTTGGTACATCTCCTCCATGGTGAGTGATGCCCAGCGAGCATCATGAACGGCGTCTTGGGTAGCTCACGTGCCGGGTGGACCGGCTCTGCGGCTGTAAATCCTCACCCTAACTTGGACTGCTCTTTTCTTTGCCAGGGTACACTGCGGGGACTCCCTACAAGGTCCCACCGACCCAGAGTAACAATGCACCTCCTCCCTACTCGCCGTCTCCGAATCCGTACCAAACCGCTATGTACCCCATCAGAAGTGCCTATCCACAGCAGAACCTGTACACCCAGGTAGGTGCCTCGCCAGCTGCCGTGGCAGCTCACCGCTTCGCTCAACGGTCTGCAGATGCAGCCCATGGCTCTGGTAGGGCTTCGTCCTTGGATGTCAGGGCTGAGCATCCATGTCCTGATGGGATGGAGGGGCTTGATGGGGCTTGGTGGGTCTCTGCGATGCTGGGGTGGCTCTCCTGCTTCCTCTGTTGGATCCTCTGGATGAGATGTGGTCTTGCATGGTTGTTGGTGTGCAGTGGAGTCAATGCAGTGGCATCCCTGTAGCTTGGCGAGGTTGGGAATCAGGTCCCTTCCTCCAAAAATCACACTCCTGACTGCTGGGGCTCACTGCTTCTGGGACAGTCCCTGCACCCAGCTCTCCCCACCCTCCCCCAGCTCTCAACGTTGCTCTTCCCCGGGGCCGTGGATGAGTCTGGGTCACCCTAAGGGCCACTTGCTGATGGCTGTTGACATCTCACTCGACTTGCATCTCTTTCCTGCCACCTCCCATGGAAAAGCTCCTGTGTCACCTTCACCAGCATAAGCTACTTGAGGCCCGACCCAGATTCATGTCCTCATGGAGCAGCTCCTCCCTGACCACCTGGATGGGTTTCCAGTACCATCTTCGCTGCTCCTACATTGCCACCGCCTCCAGCTATGTGCTGAGGCCAAGATCCTCCACAGGGGTGCAACTGAGGGCAGATGTCCTCCGAAAATCACCTTGATGCCCCTTCCCACTGAGCTCCTTGGAGCAATCTGGCCCTGCAGCATCCCTGGCTTTCCCTTCCTCTTTAATGCCAAATAACCGACTTCTCCAGCAGCTACAACCTCGGGGAGTGGTTTATCCATGCCCTGCGGAGACCAGAGCATCTCCTCTTGCCGACTTTGTGTGCCGTCACCTCTCCTTTCATTAAGTAAGCTCCTGAAAGAAAGAAGTAATTTAATAGTTCACCTGCATCTCCTCTCCCCTTAATCCATACCTTCAGAGGTTCTTACTGGCTTTCACTAACGCACAATAAAACCTCCCTTTGTTGTTTTAAACCCTCTAATCTTTCTGCCCGTCCCTAGTTTGCAGGTACCTGCGGTGTCCCTGCCTGGCCCGGGGACGGCAGTTCTTTCCCTTGCGCTGCTCACGTTTCAGGCCCTTCGTTATTTGGGACGTGGAGCTTTTTCTGTTGGCTCCTGTCTTTTATTCCCACCCATCCTTCTCCCCGTTGGTTCAAAACCCTGTGGGTCTCGGCAGCCTGGGTTTCAGAGCCCCTCTGTCTCCCGTCGGAAACCTGAGAAGACAACACGCTTCCCGGACCCAAGCAGGCGTCTTGGGATCAGCCAAAAGCCGTGGCCTCTCCTTTCTTCCATCTCTTGTTCATTTTCTACACCAGTAGCCAAAGTCTTTTGGGTCCAGGCCCCATTTCATCCCACCAAACGGAGGCAGCACGGTTTGCCCTGCTGAGCCGACACTCCTACCCAAGATGCTGATCCCCCTCCCGGTCCCATTGGCCTCATCCATCCCAGGGATCATTCCCAACGTCCATGGGGTTGGCTTCATCCTTGTTTGTCCAGGTCTGCAGGCACAGGAGCTTGCCTGTGGGAAGGATCAGCCCCTCGTCAGCGCTCAAATGATGGCCCGTGGGCAGCTCTTTATACCAGCAGCTACGCGTGACGCCGGCTTGTCTTAATATTACTTCTGCAACGCATCCGGAGGAGCTGAGGGCTTGAAGCTTCAAAGTGAAGGACCATCACAGCGGAGTCCCTCCGGGCTCGGGATACGGGCTGGGTTTGGGAACCTCCTACGTCCCCTCTGGTGCAGGGGGTGCAGGCACCGGCAGAACCGGCCCCGAGAGCATCTCTGCTCACTCCATCGCAGGCTCTGCAGCCGCAGCCGCTGTAACTCCTTGCTGACGGCGTGCGCTGCGTTACCGGGCTGATACCCGCTGCACACGGAGCTGGTGATTGCCTCTAAATAAAATACCGGGCTTCGAGTCACTTGCTTTGGCTTCTGCTCTCAATCGAGTGACAAAGACGATGGTGGGGTTTGTTTTTTTTCCCCTTCTCAAACAGGGAGCTTATTACACCCAGCCAGTGTACGCGGCACAGCCTCACGTTATCCATCACACCACCGTGGTTCAGCCCAACAGCATCCCATCGGCCATCTATCCGGCCCCGGTCGCTGCGCCCAGGACCAACGGTGTGGCCATGGGGATGGTCGCTGGGACTACCATGGCAATGTCAGCAGGTAAGAAGGAAAGTTTTATTGTGTTTTCAGCCGTAGTTTCATCTCTCGGATGGGACATACCCAAACAACCTGTGCAGGAGACTTGTCCCGGCTGGAGAACTCCGTGCATCCGCTGTGCTGCCTGCAGCCTTGCAGGGTGCATCTGGGAAGTGGCCTTGCACACAGCTAATCGCAGCTGCGGCTGCCAGTTTTCCGTGCTGGTTACTGCCCCTTTGCAGGCAAAAAAAAATCAATTAATTTGCTCCTGATACTGATCTGAGTCAGTTTTTAGGTTAGCAGAGGAGACCTTTCGTTTGGCTCACTCCAGAGGGATGCATTCTCGCATCTGTAAATATATTATTCTTTCCTGTCTGTTCCATAAGAAGAGGAATAACCAGGTTTGCCCATCTTCAAATAACGTTGTGTTTCTATCCTCAAGTTCCTTTTTTAGGATACTTGTTGTCTTGCTTTTGTTTGACAAAATGCACATTAATGTTGGTTTATGGATCTCAAACCCTCTGCATTTTACATGCAGGATTGCTTCATAAATAATATGCAGAATTGCTTCAAACTGCAATTAGTCGATAGCACATGAAGTAAGGATACAGGCTGGGTTTTTTTTTTCTCCAAAGCCTGTTTTTCTCTCATTAACAATTCTTAGGATTGTATATTGAATTATGCCAAGAAATGCATCATTCATCCTTTCGCATCTGCATTAGCTATGAAACAGGACTCTGTTATGGGACACAATCCCTGGTGCAAGCAGAGATATTGCAGCCTGGGTATGACAGGAACCACTCTGAGAGATTTACTGTTGCTTATACTGAGAAGTGGCTGGATGTAATTAATGCACGTGGGATGTCTTAACATACCCAGAAACAGAGAAGTTGTTTCGAGCACCCAGTCCCTCCCAGAACAGGGTAGTTTGGGACTGTATTCTCCCTCCCCGTGTCTGCTGAAGGCACCGTGCAAATTCTTGCCTAAAATCCCTCTGCGTATCAGCTGCAGAGTAAAAGAAAAGAGGCCGCACCGGGGACGTCCCTCTGCCTCACGGCTGGGAGAGGATGGCTCCTTCTGCTGCATCCCAAGGCTCTCGGCTCTCCGGCTTTAAACGAAGCACAAGAGCTCCACTGCCCTTGGGAGATGAGTGGCAAAGCTCATCTTCATTTTCCCTGGAAGGTCTGGGGTTTGGGTTTTTTGTTGGGGTTTTTTTTTTTTTTTTCTTTCTTCTCATCTCCTTTTGCAACCCTCGTCCCTTCCAGTTCGGTCCTCCAATGTTTCAGATCGTTGCAGTGATCTGCTGTTGCAATTTAGCCCGGCGCCTTCGGCAGGCGGAAGGCGTCACGGGGTTAGTGGTTACTTCTGCTGTCGGTCTTTAGGGACAGGGAACATTGGAAAAAGGTGAGTTTAAGGTCGGAAAGTAGTACGGAAAAATGTGCTGGAGCTTGAGGTGGGTTTATTCCGCTCGTGGAACCGCATGAGTCAGACACGTTAAATTCAGGTCTCATGGGCAGAATAACATGTTGGAGAATTGAAGAAGGAAAAAAAGGGCAGGCGATGCCGTGCCTGCCCCCCAGACACGGTCTGCAGCACCGTACCCTCGGCGGAGGCTATCCTCCCCTGATGGACCTCTCCTCCTTGCTAAATATTTCTCCCTGCCATTTCAGGAACCTTGTTGACCACCCCACAACACACCGCCATCGGAGCACATCCAGTTTCCGTGCCAACGTACAGGGCTCAAGGAACCCCAACCTACAGCTACGTACCTCCACACTGGTAAACCCACTGGCCAATTCATGTAAGTGCTGCCTTCGCGGGTCTCGCTCTGCCCTTGGCGATTAATCGGCCACTGAGCACCGCCGTCGCTTCTCTCCTGCCCACAAAGCTGCTGAATCTCTTTGTCCAGGCGACGCTCTGACTCTGGAAGAGCCGTTTAGCGCTGCTCCCTGGCTGCACGGCGCGCTGTCGCGGGGCTACGGAGGGTGTTAGTAAATCACGGTGTGCCTTGACCTTACGTCTCGCTGCTCGGTGCGTGCAAGGCTTCACCAGTGACCTCCGTGGCATCAAGGCACTCTGCGTGCAGTTGGGCACTGTGAGGGGGAAATTTTTATGCTGTAAGGTTTTGGATGCTCTTTCGTAGAATCCCAGCCTGGTTTGGTGGGAAGGGACCTCCCAGCCCATCCAGTGCCACCCCCTCTGCCATGGGCAGGGACACCCTCCACTAGCCCAGCTTGCCCAAAGCCCCATCCAACCTGGCCTTCAACACTGCCAGGGAGCCAGGGGCAGCCACAGCTTCTCGGGGCAACCTGTGCCAGGGCCTCAGCACCCTCACAGGGAAGGATTTCTGCCTCCCATCCCATCTCCATCTCCCCTCCTTCGGTTTCAAACAGTTAACCCCTTGTCGTATCACTACGCTCCTCGATAAAGAGTCCCTCCCCAGCTTTCGTATCACTTCAATATGGGTTTTTTTTTTTCCCCTGCTAAAACATGCTGGGAGATCGTCTTGTTCATTAGCACGGGGGTTGCATGCAGCTGCCTGCACCCTGCCTGTTTATTAGCGCCAGGGGTGTGTGCAGCTGCCTGCAACCGGCTGCAGGTTCCTGTCGTGCTCGGGATCCCACAAATCCCAGCTGCTTGTTTAAACACTCTCCGTGTGTTGCTGGAGCCCTCGGTCCATCACGCCAAATTAACGGGCAACGCAGCTGATGGGAGCACACGATGCTGCACGGGGAGGCGGCGTAGCTCTCATCCAGCCCAGGGGGTCATCTGAAATCTCTCCTCGCTGCGTACGTTACGCTGGGCTAATCCTGCCCACGACAAAGTGTTGGGTAATTAGCAGAGAGGATCCCGTCCGCATATTTTTAATCCTGTGCTGATGCTTTCTCAGCTCCGTGCCCGAGAAATTGCCCGCGGAGTGGTGCGAGGGATGCTTCTATCCCATACGCATCAGCTAGACGTGCTGCGTGCGGTGCAGGGGGTTCAGAGGAGAGGAGAACAACCCTGCCTGATCCCGCACCGTTCGCTTCTAACTCCTTCTTTTTAATATGTTTGCTGTCTTCCAGATCCGGAGTCGAACATTGTATGCAACTACACAAGTCTTACATCGGTGCTGCGGCCGCTGTACTGCAGCACCTCGTCTGTTTGCAAGAACAAAAGAGAAAAAAAAAAAAAAAAAAAAAGCTGGTCACTTTATGCATTCTTTAGTGGTTTTTGTAAAAGCTGCTTTTTCTAATCTTCGCCTCTTTTTTTTTTTTTTTTTTTTTTCCCCTCTCCCCCTTCCTCCTCCCCAACCCACATAAATTGTGTAACACACATACTGACACTGAGCAATAGTAAAGTTCTCTCTTTGGTCCTATCGTTTGAAAGCTCAGAATATTCACTTTTCCAGCATTGCCCAGCTGAGTGGTGCAAAGATCCCCCACTTCTTGTTCGTTTGGGTTCTTTTTGTTATTTTTCTGTTGTCGTTGTTGTTGACGAGAGCCTAGATTTTCTTTGGCTAGTAAGAGTGGTTGATGTTCAGGGTACTATGTGAAAAGCACAGCGCTGGTAGGCAGGCTTATTCCGATTTGGTTTGGGTATTTTTAGTTGAATAATATAAATTATTTAATCTTCCATAACATATTACAAGAAAATTGGTGTCTTCCAGATAGCTGTCGTGATAGATTATAAACGCATTATCTGCAGTGAAATTCTGAACTCATCCCTTCTTTTGTAGGAGTAAGAGACTATAAATATAATTAGCAACGTAACACACACGTCTTAGGAAGTAGGAGGACTGGTCACCACCGGGTCTTTGGTCTGCTTTTTCCAACTGGGCAAACGGATCTTGCGTGACGGGAAGAGAGCGGCGGAGACGCGTGCCCTGGTGGCGTCTTGCACCTCTTGGGAAAATGAGATGCTCCCCATCTTCCACGTCGTGGGGCTGTGCGAGGGAGAAGGCAGCTCCTTCCTTGCATGGCTACCGTTTGCAGGCAGAGATGTGTCGGGTGGCTGTTGAAGGAAGCAAGGAGATGTCCAAGGCTTGATCTGAAGAGCTTTGCCAGGTCCAAGGAATGATCTGAAGAGCTTCTCCAGGTCCAAGGGTTGATCTGAAGAGCTTCTCCAGAGTCTGGTGGTGTAGATGTAGAGTCTCTGAGGCAGGGCGAGGGGGAAGACTGGTGGCTTCACCTTGCACCTGCACCATTGGCGGGGCTGAGACCAAACCACGATGTCTCTGTAGTGATCGAGGTGGCCCCCGTTCTTTGGGTCACAGCGGGGCTTGGAGACTTTCAGGAGAAATGTTCATCCAGGCACAAATCCTGGAACCATAGAGAAAGGCCGGAGAAGGGGATGATGTCCAGCTGCTTTGCTTGGTGAGCAGGGAGAAACAGGGGGAAGAGGAAGCAATAGCAATAAACACGTCGTCTTCCTCATGGAAGGCACCTGAGAAAAGGCGAGAGCAAGGAAGGTGATCCACAGCTGACGTGGACCGGGCTGGGAGACAACGGGCACGCAGAGGCTGTGGGCATTGGGGTAGTTTCTGGAGGGTTTGGCTTACCCAAGGGCATGAGGACATGAAGCCAACTGCGGCTGGTGATATCCCACCTCGGGGCGTCCAAGTAGAGCAATAAGTTGTCTCGAGGGCAGCAGTGAGAGCGTTCATATATGCAGACAACGCTTGTGGCCAGTTTGAGTTATTTTTAAATCCTTATCCGTAATCCTTATCCAGCGGAGAAACAAGGCTTTTCTTTTTTTTCCTTTCCTTTTCCTAAGACGAAAACATTGTTGGGTTTTGATTTTTTTCCCTCAAGCGTGCCAAAAGAGTTACATTCACCCGGCAGCATGTTTGCAACTCTCACATCTCTTGGGCTCGAGGTTGTCACAAGGAACCAAATCCAGAGCCTTTAAAGAGGTCAGGTTAGGAGATGTGGATGGGAATCCCTCCTGGCACTGCCTGGGATGGGTTTCCAACCCATGGGTGGTGTTGAGTCAGTGCCCAGATGTCTCAGTTGGCTGTTCTGCTTTGGTCATGCCTGGATCACGTCTCCAGATGGAGGTGAGGGCAGTGGAGACCAACACTGGAGGGTCACCTTGACTGGAATGTGGTGGTGTAGAGGTCAGACTAGAGGGTCTTTCAGAAGAGCAAGGTGACCAGTTGTGGGCACCTTGGTGAGACCTCCTTGCTCTTGGTGGTATCTCCCAGCTTGGCTTCTGCTACCACTGGGAGGAGCTACTGGAGCTCCTTCCCGTGAACATAGTCCAGATGGGGAGAAACAAGCTTAGGGACCCAAAAGGACTTTTCCTACCACTGATCGGTCCCAGGTGGTTTGTCAGGTCGTGTGTTGGTGCCAGCACTGCTGATGGGGGTCATTTGCTTGGTTCTGTTGGTTTGAAAGGAAATCTACCAAAGCTCTGGTTGACCTTCCCAACCTCAAGGGGAACAAAGTGGGTGAAGACTGAACACCAGTGTTGTGGAGTGGGGAGGGTGGAGTTCTCCCGTGTAGTACTTTAGGTTGCACTTTAGGTTTGTGTAAAAGGAAAAGAGAAGAAAAAAAAAAGGACTAAATAATCAGAGGGTTGCCCGTTCAGCTCGGCAAAGTCAAGGGTTAGCACATAAAGAGCAACAGGACATTTGGAAATAACAATACTACATCATCCTTCCGCTGTTTGTAGCACGCTAGTGAAACCTGGGCCAAAAAACCCCCCAAGAGATCACAGGAATTGAAGACCTCGCAAATACCCTTTCTTGCTCTGTTGACTTCACGTTATGTAGAAGGAGCTGCCTGTCAGCATTGAAACATGGAGGGTAGAGTAAGCTCTAGCTAACGTAAGAGCGCTACAACTTGCAGGGTCCAACGAGCTTCGTTATCACAGCCTGGGCTCTGCAGAGGAGGACCTTTCCCAGCAGGCCTCCACCAGCAGACACCATCCTACCACTGGCCTAGGCACCCTTCACCCTTAACTGCTTTAGGAACGACTGCTAAAGTTTTGGCCCATGGCTAGGAAGGAGATGCTAAGCTTTCTCCTGAAAGGAAAGAAAACACTAAAGGTGGGGTAGAAAGCTCCAGGAGCTGAGCATGGAGGCTTTGATCAGTAGCAGATATGATGCTCCTCATCCTGGTGTGCCCAGGCAGAACTACTCATTAACTCAACCCAGGTGTAAAGAGGTGAAATATTTGCCGTCTGTTGGGCGAGAGGCTTTGGTGAGCAAATTTGGCAACCGCTGTTGAGTTTATGCTTGGACCACTGCATGGCTTCAGGGCCACCACATAGCTCTGGGGCCACCACATGGCTCCAGGCTTGGGTAGCTCCTTCCCGAGGTGGATTCATGGGGCCGCAGTGGTGAGGAGATGCATGTGGGCCTTGATGCCCCTCCCAGGCTGATGTCAGCAGTGACCTGCAGCCCTGTCCCCTTCCCCGTGGAGGGATGTGGTTTTTCAGATAGATGGAAGGATGAGAGAAAAGCCCATGATCCCGAGTCCTTTCTTTGGCCAAGTCATGGCTCAAGTGAAGGTCCTGGGGAGGTTGCAGCCTGGTGGGGGACTCCCTTGTGGAGGGGACACTGATGGGGGCCACCAGCTTCCCAAATATTTCACCCCAGCAAAGCTTTGCTGGTGTTGGTTGAGGAAAAGGGTTTCCCCACGGTGAAGGATCACACCAGGCGTTCGCAGGGAAGAGCAGGAGGGGTTAAACCATCCTTAGCAGGGCCAGCAAAACGTCTCAGAGATTAAAATTCCAGCTAAAGAGGAAAGAAAATAACTCTCAAACCGCTGTTAACGACCATTAACCCACCCCTGCTGTTGTCTTTGCTTGAAAACATGAGCTGTAGGGTGAGATTTTGGGGGGGACGACACACAAAGGGTGTGTTAATAGTGGTGGTGGCCCCCAACCCGAGCGAGCCCCTTGGAGTCTGTACCCGTCATGCCTCCAAGCAGCTGAACCCTCCGGGCGAGGATTTGCTCCTGTATTTTATGAAGAATACCAACCCAAGTCCAGCTTTTTGCAGTTTCAAGATGTAATTACCACGCAGTGTTATTTAAGGGGTTTGTTTTAGTGATGGATGTTTCGGGGTATCGGGTTTTTCCCCCAGCTGCCGGCATCTCCGCTCCTTCCCCGAGAGCCCCCCCGCACTCCCCCCAACCTCTGTGCCATCCCCTCCCTCCCCTCCTGCATCCCGGCGGCGGATGCATCCCGGATTTGGGATGATGCGGTCCCCGGCCGGAGGGCACGGAATGGGGTCTGGCTTTCCTGGAGGGAAGAAAACCCACATTTGGGGACTTCTTTTCAACGGGAAAACCCAACCATCTGACAATAGCAATAAGAGCCGTTGGATACCCATAAATTCAGGATTTGGGGTGGGTTTTGTTGTTGGGTTTGGTTGGTTTTTTTTTTAATTGTCAATATTTTCAGGCCCTCCAAGCATCTATTGTCCCCAAAACACAACGACCCTCTGCCCACCTTCCCTTTGCTTTGCCGCAAACGCCGGGTTGTCGGCAGGATCAGGCTCCGAATATTTTCTCTGCCGTGTGTTAGCATTCCCAGAGGGCAAAAAAAAGGAAAATAAAGTCCGTTAAGGAGCTTGGGAGGGAGGAGAGCTTGAAAAAGGCTTTTTTTCCGGCGTGCTGCATCGTGGCGCTTACGGATTCAGCGGTAATCAGGTAAAATAACCTGTTACGGGGATGTTTGCAAAGCAGGAATAGCAAAATACGGGGTTTAACGGCAGCAGTTGCTGGTTGGAAACGCTCAGTTGTGCCAGTTGTAGGAAAAGAATCGTGATGCAAGGTGGCCACCCGCAGCAACGTCGCGTCTTCCTGCAAGGGACGGAGCGGAGGGGAGCTGGGGTTTTCCCGGGATGAAGGGGGTTCAGGAGCAGGGCGCTGGATGGGGAACGATTCGCAGGGTCGGCAGCCGCCGGGAAGCACGGCAAGGAAGGGAAAAATGAGATAGTGGGGTGCAGGATTGGACCCAAACCCTCCCGTCCCCATAGCGTGGAGCAAACCCGCGCCGGGCTCCTACCCCTCTTTCTATGTAATTAATTTTTTTAATTGATTTTGACCGCCAGACCAGCTCGTTTTTAAATATTATTGGACCTCTTAAGCAAAAATAAATATTAAAAAAAGAAAAAACCAGAAAAAAAAAAAGAAAAGAAAAAAAAAAAAAAGATTAAAAACCAAGA